TACTTGTGAAAACTTTTGTGCCACAGCGCTCCGTCATCTACTTCTCCCCCTCTGTGTGTGTGTGTTGTGTGTGTGTGTGTGTGTGTTTGGCAAGTGCAACAAAAGCCCTACGAGCCAAAAGCAAAGAAGTCTTATTTATTAATGTACTCCACACAAAAGATAACAGGCGAGGAGAATGAACATTGAGCAGAATACAGTTCATTCAGGATAACTCAAATAAAGACTGCCACGGAAAGCAGGCACTCTAGATCAGCTACAAGGACCAAAGTGAAAAAAAGTAAAAATATATCATATATTCAATCTCAATATTAAATGGGGATTTGGGCAACAAAACTTGATTAGGACATTTTTAAACTGGTATCGATAATTGTGGCATTACACTGGTATTGGTATCAACTACTACATTTCTGATTTCGTGACATCCCTATTCTGGTCCCATATATAACCCAAAAACGTATTCAGTTGAAGTGTGAAGTAAATCTTTTGGATGCAGTAACGGTTTCCAAAGATGAGGCCACTATCCCATGTACCACATTCATTTTCCATTAAACTATTATTCCCTTTCTTCTTTGAAACAGGACAAGCTCCTGGATGCCGCCACAGTGACCCACCTTTTCAGAATAACAGATAATATTGGATGCGTAATGTCTGGGATGACGGGTAAGAAAAAGTGTCAAGAGTTGGCGCATACTGTTAGCACTGCCTATTATTAGCACTGTCTTTTAGATTTTTTTAGTATTTTCAATATAAAAGATCGTAAAATCGGATTGAAAAGAGGAAAGTAAGTGTATACAAAAACCAGCTTGAAAATTGGATTTTGAAAAATAATGTTCAGCACAAGCACTGCAATTAGTGCAGTTTCTTTTTTTAAATTGTCTTATGTAGGTTGCCTTTTTAGCAGCATGTTTCCATTTTCTTCTTTCTGCTTCCAGTTTTTCTCATCACTTCCTATTACTCAAAGCATTTTTTCAGCGTTGCTCGTAAACTTTCCACCGTTCTAAGCTTTGGTGGTAGTTTGCTCCTGGAAATGCAGTAATTGTTCAGTATATGGGAACAAACTTGCTGAAAACTAAAATACCTCTTTTTAAAAATACCTCTTAAAAATCCCAAGCATTTTCAGTTCAGTTGAAAGTGATGATTCACATTCGTCATCTCTGTTCTCCTCAGTCACTGCGTTTACTGTAGTTGATGGTTCCTCTTTCCTAAAACGCTTTCTGTGGATATCATTTAAACACTGCTCTAGAGATTTAAAGTTCCAATATGACTGTGTGACCGTTAAATGGGTGCTTTGAACACATCAGTCACTTTTCCCCCCTTCTTACTCTGATCCCTTGCAGCCGACAGCAGGTCCCAAGTTCAGCGAGCTCGCTATGAGGCCGCCAACTGGCAGTACAAGTACGGTTATGAGATTCCAGTTGACATGCTGTGTAAGAGAATTGCTGACATCTCGCAAGTCTACACGCAGAACGCTGAGATGCGACCACTGGGCTGCTGTAAGTATATTAAGCTGCAGTCGGTTAATGGTCGCGGCGGTTAAGTTGTGGTTTGGGGTGTGAACTGAAGTCAAATGTCGCCGTCAGAGTCCTCACTGATGCCCGTTGCCTGCAGGTATGATCGTCATTGGCGTAGACGACGAGTTTGGACCCCAGGTGTACAAATGCGACCCAGCAGGATACTACTGCGGCTTCAAGGCAACCGCAGCTGGAGTGAAGCAGACAGAAGCCACCAGCTTCCTGGAGAAGAAAGTGAAAAAGAAACTGGACTGGACCTTTGAACAAACTATTGAGGTACTAAAAAAAACTCAGGTTGATAAGGGCGGAAGACGAATGTGAAAGTAACCTCACAGGTGGTTTCCAGCTCTGTGGCTTTTCATTTTATAACCTTTTTTTTTTTTAATGTCAAGTACATTTATTATTAGAAGATATAATAGAAATGTCATAAACACAATCTTATCTCCCCTTTTTTTTCTCTCCCTCAGACGGCAATCTCCTGTCTGTCAACCGTTCTCTCCATCGACTTTAAACCCTCTGAGCTCGAGGTGGGCGTTGTCACAAAGCAGGACCCCAAGTTCAGGTAAAAGATTAATAAATATACCACTTCTGTTGAAATGACCCCTGTAGCATGAGAATAGCAGTTGACCAAAATAATTTTGTTCGGTTCATTGCTTTAATTCAGCACGATGTATGTCTAAATGTAGTATTTTAGCAAACAAATTAGGCCCAAATTGTCCACCATTCTCACTTTATTGTGTTAGAGTTGAGGTAGCAACTTACGGTTATTTTGATTAATGATCAATCTGCCACTTATTTCCTGAATTAATTAATTTGTTGTCTTTATAAAATGTCCATAAAACAATCCAGCTACTATCATATATGGCAAAGAACAGCATCAAATACTCAAATTTGTGAAGGTAAAAGCAGCTATTGCTTGGCATTTTTGCTTAAAAGATAGCCTTAAAGTATCCCTAATTCCCTGCTGAACACTGAGGAGCCCCAGCTCTAGTCCGGGTTCAGGTTCAGGCTCAGAATCATGATCCAGCTCCCTGTCTTCTCCCTCCAGGATTCTGACAGAGAATGAAGTGGACACCCACCTGATGGCCCTGGCAGAGAGGGACTGAGCGAGCAGAGACGCGTCACCTGTTGGATTAAGTTAGAGCATGCTGGGATATGCAGTTCCCAGAAGGAGACTGGTGTTATCTTTGTTTGCTGTACATTTACCCCACTGTTTCATTCAATAATTAAAACAAGTTTTTGAGTAAAATAACCATTGTCTTTATACCTTTTTATTTATTGAATTTATTATGCACGCATGTTTCAAACATATTTATATATGTATAGAAATATATGTATGTTCTGATCATGTTACCAGAAGCCTGTGTTTCATAAGGCTGTGTTTTTAATCTGTCGGTTGAATTTAGCAGCAGGGGAAAATGTTTATGGGAACATGAGCAATGCAGAGCTCTACCTCTGAGCTTCCTGTTGTGGCTCTGAATGCACTAAAATCACATGACATACCGAAGTGCTGTGGAGAGGTTATTTTACTACACAGTGATGTAGACCTGGTTGACATGTTTTTTTTTTTCTCCACATCTTGGCGCATGTAGTGTGTCAGAAATAGATTTACTTAACTCACCGGATATACCATACAAAACAAGTAGTTTCTCTTTGCGAAGGGAAAATTTGTTCCCCCTGAATACTTCAGCATGACAACACTGACATATGGCCTGTGTGTGTCAAGGTGGGGAAACATTGTCTAAGAATTCTAGTCAGTGTCCAGCTGAGCACTCAACATGGGTTTTGTCATCAGCGTATGATCAGAAATGATGATGTGCTGTCATTCTCAGTCGCTTTAGACCATTTCCCATCAGTTTCGTCACATCACCTCTCGTCCCAACTTATGTTTCTTTTTGCTGCCATTTACAGAAACAGAAATCTAGCTACAGTGTCATGGGTTTTCATCTCAAATGCAGTGATGATCTTTAGGAATCTCTGCTTAGGTTATTGCTTAAAGCCTCTGTCTCTTATGTAATTTCCATTATCCTTGAGAAGTGACAACCTGGTCTTTGGAAAATCCCCCACAGTCCTGCTCAGGTCTGTAACCGTGTTAATGTTTACAGCCCTGAGGACAATTACAGGCTGGATGTACTATACACTGCCATTAAACCTAATCAGGGACAGCTTCTGAGTAACAATAAGTGCAGGCTCCAGGTTTACTTCATACTGGGAATTGGAGTGAGAGGTGCCGGTTATTTCAGGTAATTCCTTTCTGAAAATTTCCAGACTGCCGTGCACAGATCAGCTGATCAGTGGGTGAATTACAGTGAAAGTACATTTACTCAGTACAAATTTGGGATTCGTTACTTGAGTCTTTTCTTTTTGGGATACTTTTTTGTAACTTTTACTCCACTACATGTATCTGATAGCTTTAGTTACTTGTTACTTTACAACTTAAGATTTCTGCAAACAAATCATACAAACAGCTTATAAAATATGTTTTGTTATTAATTAAGCCACCCAATAGTATACGGAAGTACAGCTCAAACAATTTGTCAATTGACAGAAAATTCCAATTTTAATTCATTTTTAGTAAAGAAAACATTTAATGGTTCCAGCAAATGTGAAGATTTGCTTCTTTTCATTAAAATGTTTTAATGTACTTTGAATTATTTTGAGGTTTGAACTGTTGGTTGGACAAAACAAGCACTGTGAACGTGTCACTTTGGGTAACTGATTAACTTTCTTAATATTTTCTAATTAAAACTAAGAAATTAATGAAGAAATTAATTTCTTCCATTAATGGAGAAAATAATCCTATGCAAAGTAGTTCAAACTTCAACCAACTACAAAAGTTAAATGCTACTTTTACATTATTGTACGAGTAATATAATATTACTATAATAATATATAATAGTAATAGGGGATATTTTTTTATGTATTCAGAACTTTTACTTTGAGTAAATGTTTCTTTCTTTTACTGAACTAACAATGTCAATGCAGGACTTAAGTAATTAAAGGATCTGAATACTTCCTCCACCGCTGCAGCTGACAGGGGAATATTGTACTTCCCACTGTGGTTAAGTTTCCTGGTCATGACATGAACTGATCTAACTCTCTCTGGCACGTTCCCATCTTGTTAAAACACATTTCCTCCTTACAAAATGTCCTTGGTATTTCTAGCTGCTGTTCAGCAGTAGTACCAGGGTAGGGTGGAATATTTAAGCACATTATGTTCCTCTTATGCTGCCCAGGGACTTTCAACGCAGTGACTCAGAGACCTGGTGACCTCGCCCCAACAAGGAAATCCCAGACTGTTCCAAGTGGCTGAGTGTGATAGTTTTTTGTCTGTGTGTCTTTCACAAGTCTGGGGCGATGACTGTCTCCCTCGTCACTTTGTGTAAGTGAGAAATGATGCTTGCTTTAAGATGCGGAAAGGCCGCGAAAGAGTCATCACATGGTAGGAAAAAACATTCATGCAAGAAGGAAACACACCAGTCAGTGCTGTTTATATTCATAAACTTATTTTTATTCCAAACAATTTTTTGTTAATAGTGTTTAAATCCACACAAAATATGTACAGGTACAAAAAATAATATCTCTGTATTTACAATATATTACAAAGGTCTGGTATATACAAATCAATATATATTTATACAGTATATAGATGAGACTATATGGAGGTCGTGGTCTTGCTGTAATATGGTTTTTTGGTGCAGATCATTGGGTGATCCGGACCGGACTTGACCAGACTGTACGCCGTCTTCATTCATGTTTGTGATCCCAGGGCCAGCACCCGTGGACTTCGACCTGGACGGGGGACGTGGACCGACTCGTCCGTCGTTGTGGGGCTGTGGCTGGGCAGCCCAGTAGCAGCTTCACTGTCGTTCACTCCACCAGCAGAGGGATGCTTCTGTTTACTTTCCGAACTTTATGTCGTCGTATAGCTGTGGGGAAAGAAAATAAAAAGACGTTAGGAACCCGTACCATAAAGACGCCATTATATGAAATCTTAAGCTGATGTTGGACCGTGGATCTTGAATCAGAAACTGACCTCATCCTCTGACAGGTCCACATCCTCCATATCGCTCTCTGATTCGCTCTCGGGCAGCTCCCTCAGCTCCTGCGCGGTCTTCTCGTACAGCTGGCAACGGATCTCCTCGTTCTGGCGTCCGTAGGTGAGGTGGTACGGCGTGAAGCCGCCATAGTTAAAGCAGTTAACGTCGGCGCCGAGGTCGAGTAGGCAACGGACCAGTGTTGGGTTCTGGAGATCCACGGCGAGGTGGAGCGACGTCCGACCACTGCACTGTTCCTATGGGCAACAACATAAAGGAATGTTAGGCTCCAACTGCTTTTCCTTAAGACATCACTTTGTGCAAAAAGTTTAAGATGGCTGGCTTTTGAGGTAATGACACCTACCTGTGCATTGATGTCAGCACCCAGCCGAACAAGGTTTTCCACCAATGAAATGAAGCCGTTAATGGACGCCAAGTGGAGGCAGTTATGTCCTGTGGAGAAGGAAATCAGGAGAAACTCAGTTAACAACCACATTCAACAACTGCTCAGGTGAAACATGAAGTTCGTGAGTGTCTTTAGGGGGGCTGCTTAAACTCAGTACTTACCATTGTAGTTGGGGAAGGACACGATGGAGGTGAGGTGGCGTTGGCTGTGCTGCGTGATGACGCCGAAGCAGGCGAGGGAGCCCTTCTTGCAGGCGATGTGCAGAGCCGTGTTCCCGCTGTCGTCGGCCAGCCGGGGGTCAGAGCCGGCCTTCAGGAGCCTCTCAACCAACTGGGGCTGCTCTGTGATCACTGCCAGGTGGAGGGCAGTCTGGAATGGAAGAAATGAAAAGATATATTTCATTATTACCTTGACTTTGAAAGCAATTTGTGTTTAAGACGAGGAAGGTAGATATATATATATATATATATATATATATATATATATATATATATATATATAGAGATATATATATATATATATATATATATATATATATATGAGAGAGAGGATGCGCTGATTGTGGTTATTACCTGTCTCTGGTGGTTCTGTACATTGAGGAAGGGGTGATTGTGAGACAGTTTGATCATCTGGAGGGCATGGTCTTCGGCTTCATGAATGATGGCCAAGTGGAGAAGCCTGTTGGGTGACAATAGAGAGAGAAGTTAGTTAGTTAGTTAGTTAGTTAAAATAGTGCTTTTAAAAAAAAAATACGCAAGAAGGAAATAGTTCCAGCCCAATAAGAAAGAACAAAGCCCGAGCAGTGGAGCGTTTCGCAAGAATGGAGTTTTGTCGGGTTATTTCCACCAGTTGTGGCTTGACACATCTGATGCTTTATCAGTTCCTGGCAGCGGGCCAGGGACTTTCCTGAACTCGCAGAGCGGACTTTAGCCCCGCCCAGACTGCGCTCTCAGCCAAAGTACACACACACACACACACACACGCGCGCGCGCACAGAGTACGCACTGTGCTGCACACACACACACACACACACACACAGAGTTAAAAGGCCTCTTGTTTTCGTGCAACTCTCGACATTTCTATGCGTATTTTTGCAGGTTTTCCTATCACTTCAATGCATTGGGTTTGAAGTTAAAGAGCCCGCTCGACGGTGCACAACTCCTACTTAAAGTTGCGCAGAAGGATGAAATTTGCAAGTGCGTATTTACATTATTAATAATCCCCCAAAAAATTCAACTTACGTGTCACCATCCTCGGTCACCGCCGTTCTCCAGGGCTCGTATTCCTGCGTGAGATCCTCGCTTACGTTCACGGTCATGTCCTCGAACTCGTTCACCAGCTCGTCCTCCTTCAGGGAATCCAGGCCACTGTCAAAGCGGTCCTCCGGGCACGGCCCCATTTTCCCATTTTTCCCATTGTCGAAGTTATAATCCATTTGGTTGTGGTTAGACACTCTGTGGACGTCCATGTTGATTTTGTGCGACTGTCAGGAGAAGTAGCTCCGTCTCTGTCGGGGGTCAGGGAAGAGTAGTGCAGCTGAGGGAGGTGCGCTGGGTTTTAGTGCTGTAGGCTGGGCGGGGCCTCGGCGGGGATTTCCAATTGACTTATCTTAGAAAAAGGGAAGGGAAATCACACCGAGCCGTGCTTTTGTGAGAAAAATCCCCCCCAAAGAGACTCAGAATGAAAACTTGTAGTTTCCTATTAGACACCTATTTTCACCTGTGATGTAGGTTAGGGACCATGATTGATTTCAATGAATGAGACATGATGGGCATGAATGAGAGAGAGACTGCCCCTGCTTGGCTCTTGAAGAATTCCCTTCTGCACTGGGGGAAATTATGTGTTTCAAGTGGCTAACCAAAGTCGCATATATGTTCCACTTATTTTCCAACATGAATTTAAATCCGTTCACAAAGAAAATACATTCAAATTTCCAATATGAGGTTCAAAATGTACAGTGCACTATGACCCACACCAACACTAATAACCACACTGTGTTATCATAGAACTGCTCTGAATGCTGTGGCTAGAAAGGGCTATATTTGCTTCCTAAGCACATTTAAAAAGATTTGCTTCATTTCAACATTAGCCTAGTCTAGTCTACACATGTAAATACCACAGAAAGTAGGGAATACATTTCACTGAACCATAATGGTGGGTTGCTGAAGAAGAATTTGCAACATTACTTGTGTTCCACTTAGTAGCCTAAGAGCTGTGTGGTTGGAAAAAGAGTAAAAACATGTAGGCTATATGTTCTGAATGTAAGTATGTAGTCTTTATCTTTTTTTTATTCTACTTAGTATTTGTGTTCTCTGTCACCATCAGATATTTTTACAGTCTCAAAAGTATTTAATTTAAGTATTTTAATATGTTCATTAGTATGCCCCAATCTATCAAATATGTCCCCAGCCTTTTAGCCCTAATATGTTTTTTAAAAATCATGTTTTTGTGACCTACATATTAATGGGATGTGCATGAGTGAAAATAGAGCATGTATTGTATTAAATGACCGGTGCATATTCAGGGGTCAGACACAAGAAGGTGGCAGGGTTTCCACACTTGTGTCTGTACATGATTACACTACAAAGTACAGGGGAAGGGGAAAGATTCTAAAGTTTCCTTGTGGAGACTCCCATATGAAACCAACACTGCATGTTCCACAATAGGATGTTCTGGACTTACCCATCTAGCATTGCACATCCCTAACACACCCCCGGAGGTGAAATCCTGCACAGATTACTAGCTTTGATCCTGGAAAACACTGAGCTAAACCATGCAGAAAACACATAAACTTACTATGACATTTGGTAGGAATTTTGAATATTTTCCTTGTCTTTTTCACACCCAGTCTTGTGACTTTGCTTGTGATCTTTTGTTTTGCATTCGTCCCACATTTCCTTTCAGTACTTAAAGAGGAAATTCCTGTCTGTTACACAACATGGTAGCAAAGTGCGTGATAGAGCTACCTGTCTGTGCTCCCCTGACATTTAAGATAAAATCCCAGGATCATTTCTGTTTACACTGCAAAAGGTGGGCTTGGTGAAAACATAGCAACTGTATCCAAGAGCAATGAAGCATTCACACCTCTATGGGGCGGTACTCAGCTGAAATGACGCTATACAAACCAAACACAGACACACACCCGGGCCATGATGTCACTATGTAATGCACTCTGTATCTGTGAGCGTGCGTCACGTCACATCAGACAAATCCCACTCGCATAAGGGTGACACTGAATTCCACACATTCTTTAATCTCTGCCGAGTATCATAGTGAAGCATCTGGGGACAAACTGTTCTTGCAGCCCTGTGTTTTTTCTCCTGTTGCCAATATTGCGTGCTTGTGTTTATATATGGTCAGATATTTACCACACATAGGAAATACTGGGACTTCCACTTTACATCTTTGAGAATTTCTTCTTTTTGTTTTTTTAGGCTCTGCAAGTGCTCCTGTCTGCACTTGCCTTGTGTTTACCACTGGTTGCTATGGACACCAACCGCTGTGAAAGCACTGACGCCAGTTCAGTGTCAAGTGCTGTACATTGCCCTCTGTCTGTGTGTTGGTAAAAGCACCACTTATCTGAGTCAGTATAGTGCCTCAGGGGCCTCACACCCTGTTGGTTCAGTGCTTAAGTCATGAAACTCTCACATTTTCTCGATTGACCAACTAACACCAACCTCACCCTACATGCTTTGAAAAAAATGGGCTGTTTCGCTGTGCAGCTACATTTATGTGACAGTTTATTAAGTACAAGAAGCTAATGCAACATTCCTGCAATACATTCGATCACTATGTGATCACTTCAGAGTCTATAGTTCATGTTGCTGTTCAGCTGTATGAAGTGTTATTTCTACCCTCATGGTATAAATGAGAGAGGACTATTCACACCCCTCAGCATAATGTAATGCAGTTCTGCAGCAGCACACACAGCAGACTATAATATGACCATGCATTCGAATGAACACTTGTCTAAAATACTTTCAACAAAAACTTAACATTGTAACCTTCATGAAGGTAGGATTTATCACAGAGCTGTTGTATTAGACTGCATTAGTAATAGTTAGTAGTATAAGCATCAAATTGAGAAAAAACCTTGCTAAATATTTTATAAAGCAGGTTACATAATCATAATATTTGTTTAAAGGTCCAGTGTGTAAGATTTAGTGGCATCTAGTGGTAAAGCTGCAGATTGCAACTAGCTGAACAGTGCTGTCTGTATTTGACGGCCTGGGAATGAGTACGGGCTGTGAAGTCTGTTGAAAAACTACCGTGGCCATGTAATTCTCAAAAATCACAAAAGGCTCTACTCACAGCCAGTGTTTGGTTTGTCCCATCTGGGATACTGTAGAAACATGGTGGTTCAAAATGGCGGACTCCATGGAAGGCAACCAGCATCGTCTGTAGATAAAAACGTCTCATTCTAAGGAAACAAAAACATAACAATTCTTAAATTCAGGTGATTAAATACTAATGAAAACAGACCTATGAATATTATGTTCCATTACTGCCAATAGATTCTCCTAAATGTTACACACTGGATCTTTAAAGGAAACTTTTATTATTTTCTATGCCTGCATTTTACAGTTATAAGTACCAGTAGATGTAAGTGATGGATACTTTTTTTCCCCTTTTTTTACAACGACGGCTGAGCAAGGCGTAAAATACTGCTAATGAGGAAGTCGGGGGAAAGGGAGGGAAAAAAGTCAAACTACTAATACTGAAATTACATCATGGCTAATTTTTGAAACCGAAACACTTGTAATTTCTGGAAAGCATTTACTATTTGCACTTAAGGGAATAGTTTGACATTTTGGGACATATGCTTTTTCACTTTCTTGCCTGAAACCACTCTCATGTGTAGTATCTCGTGTGATAATTATGGAGCTAGAGTGAAGAGACGATTCGTTTATCTTAGCATAAAAACAGGAAGCACAGGGAAACACCTGGACTGGATCCGTCCATTGTTAAAAAATATGCATACGTTACAATGTTATATGTATTTTGTTTAACTGCATGCAGATAAAATGTGTTAATTAGTAAACTTTATGTGGTATAGGTAGATATATTGTTAAGCTTTAAGATAACCAGGCTAGCTAGCTGTTTCTGGCTGCTTCCAGTCTTTGGACTTTTGATCCAAAGGGATCAAATTCTGCTAAAGAAACAAATGATTTTGCAGCGGTTGATGCTCAAAAAATATTTTTACAATGCAAGCTTATGGGGAAGTATTTTTGGGTCCTGTGCATCATGTGTGGATGCCATTACTGTCACGACACAGTTTGGCCCCCATGTCAAATTGGCTTCAAAGCCCAGCACTCTTCCTGGGGGCCTGAGGATGCTATGTTGAACTGCCCAGAGCAATAGAATGGACAAACCAAACACTGGCTGTAGATAGGGCTTTACCAAGTGTGAACCTATCGTGATGTCACCCATTGGTTTGAGCACCGCTTCGAAGCTTTGAGTTTGGCATTTAGACTTGACAGATAAAGCCAGAGCGAGCCAGCGGAGGTCACGTACTGCGAGTTGATCTGCGCTCATTGGCAGTGCAGTTTCGACACGTTTGTAGCAGGTAACAATGGAGGCTCAAGTGGTCACACACAATCTCATATTACAGATAAACAGTACACTAAAATATGTGTCTGAAACAATTTTAAGCGAGAAATAGGCAACGTCTAACGATAGTTTGATCTGAGTTTCGTGCGGTTCACTGGAGGGACTCACTGAGAGTGACTTGTCAATCACAAGGTAGCCATGCCCAAAAGCATACGCAGCTTTATCGTCTATTTGACTCTAAATTGGGCAATAATTTACTAAATGTGAACATGATAATGTATGGAAGAAGACATGAAACTAGCGATTGAGACCATAAACTCATCAGGAAACTGTTTACTGAGCTCATAAATTAAGTGATAAGTCGGCTCATTCTCCCTCTGTCCATTATATGTACTGTCAATGGACCTGAAACATTTTTCGGCCTCCGTAGAAATCTATAGAAGTAGAATCTATGAATAATATATTTCATTTCTGCCAATAGGTCCTCCTAAATCCTACACACTTTAGGACCACCTTTAAGATTTGCTTGTTTGTGTATTTGTCTTGCAGAGAGCCAGCAACCTGTTTCCATCTGCTTCCAGTCTTTAAGCTAATAGCCTCCTGCCTCTAGCGCCAGAGAGTGATATTGATCTGCTCATCAAAAGAATATTTTTATTGTATATCTATGAATAGATGGTGACAATGTTTGAGAGAACTAGATAATCTCATTTTGAATCTGTCATTCATGTCAGTAGCTCATATCAGTGATGTGCTCCTAGCTCAGCTGTCTAAAATAGCTTCAGCTTCACATGTGCAGATATCATTCATGACAACTTCACTCCTGTTTCAGAAGGAAGCTCCAATATTACAGTAATCACTCAGTGGACAGTAAACCTCAACTAATCCATTTCTTGCGTGGGCTCGGTGACACAGCAGTTCTACACCCAGAGTTTATACAAACTACACCCACTTTATGTTTTCACAATGTGTGGCTTGATGTAAAAAAGGA